CGCAGGTTTCAGGAGTTGAGCTGCTGTCTAGCTGTGTTCTATTTGTTGACCACATCTTCTGTTAGCCAGCAGTTACACTTACTAACAGATTTCTAGCTAATCTCCTGAGACCAGAGCTGTAAAGTAAAGCCACTGAAGAATGACCATTAGCTCCCACAAAACATCCATCCATCATTATCTATACCACTCACTCCTGAAGAGGGTCACGGGGGGCTGGAGCCAATCCCAGCTGACACTGGGTGAGAGGCGGGGTCCACCCTGGTCAGGTCGCCAGTCTGTCACAGGGCTGACACGTAGACAAACAACCACACTCACTCCTACGGGCAATTTAGAGTCACCAGTCAACCTAAGCTGCTTGTCTTTGGACTGTGGCAGGAAGCCGGAGCACTCGGAGAGAACCCACGCAGGCGCAGGGAGAACATGCAGACTCCGCACAGAAAGGCCTCAGGTCGGCCGAGGCTTGACGCTGCCCTCCCACAAAACAGCCATTTAATTAATAGGTAATTACTGAATTAATTCATATTTGTAATTTTTCACATTATTGTTGCAACCAAAAAAGAAAAATCACAAAAGTGAATTATCTTGTTTATTTCCTGCACCACGGAGGCGACATTCATACCATGATCATTTGTTGGTTGGTTTGTTCACAGCATAACTCAAAAAGTAATGAATGGGTTTGGATGGGACTGAGGCAGGGTACAGCCAGCAGAACTAGCCGATGGATTCTGGCGCTGGTGCAGCTCATCATCTGGACCCAGGACATTTTTTATAGTCAAGTCAGTGTGACTTATATCGCACCTTTTATACACCATGGCACCTCAAGATGCTGCACATGTAAGAGCATTGCTGAAATCATACACAGTTCGAAGACAACAAAACAAAACAACACACAAAAAGATAGGGCACTATGAAGTATAAAAACACACAAGTACTGCCACGTAAGCACACACAGCTATGCACACACCCCCCAATTGTCATTGTACCCAACAGTTAAACAACTTGTTGATCCATCCTAGCAGCAAGAACAATGAAAAACAAGCTGTATTGTGCAGGAAGCTAGTGGAGAGACTTAGGACTGGTTCACCGTGCAGGTGGAAGATGAGTCAGTGTGAGCAGCAGCAGCGCCCTGCCCTCAGGCTTCTCCAAACACGGAACTGAACACACACTGCAGGCTGTGATCTTCTTAAGCAAACTGTTCCAGCTAGCATCGCTGAGGCTCGCTGTGCCATCAACACCCTGCAGAAAGTATGTACAGTGGTGTGAAAAAGT